CTGAAAATATTCAAGGGAAAAAAACAAAATCATCTAAAACCAAAAAAAAGAGAGATGCAAATTGTCTTGGACTAACATTTCGACAGTAAGTTCATTTACAAACATCATTTTTCAAAATTATACTATCTAGTTGGCTTTCACTTACTACTGATCTCATGAACGTGGCTCCATAAAAATTATGGTTTAGAGGCAAATTAATAAGCTAACTCTACTTCCTACGATTGTTTTAACTTACTTGTTCAGTTCATTTGTCAACGACATTCGATGTGTTACTTCTTCTAGGTAGAGGTGCTTGTATCTGTCCAATTCTGTTTTAGTAAGATCTTCTTGAGAACTTTTCATTTTGAATAATTCAAATTCCAGCTCTTTAATTCTGATTTCCATTTGACTTCTTAGTGAAGCATTATTATTTTCTCTTAACTGTGCTAAGCTTTCTTGAGATGCTACTTGTGTCTAAAGCAAATTAAAAGCATAGTTTTAAAACTGTTACAACCTGGGTAATTACAGTATATTTCTTTCTTTTAGTTTTGTGTCAATGATTCAGAGAGCAATTTTTAAAGTGACAAAAAAAAGCTGAAATGTAAAATATTTATCATCAATGTGAAACTGAATTAAATGTGAATGATGTTAATTCTTAGGTTAGAACTTGTGGAACCTGATAATTCAAAGAATAATAAAATCATTTAAATTTTTAAAAAGTGAACAATACCACTTAAGAATAATCAAAGTACATGGGGTACCTGGCTGACTCAGTCATCTGAGTGCCTGACTCTTGGTTTCTGCTCAGATAGTGATCTCAGGGTCCTGGGATAAAGCCCTGTGTCGTACTTAGCATGAAGTATGCCTGGAATTTTCTCTCTACCTGTCCATCCCCCACTCATGCTTTCCAAATAAATAAATATTTAATATTAAAAAAGGAATAATCCAAGTATGGTACCACTTTTTTTTTTTATGTAGGCATGCCAAGAATGGAGACCAAACAATCAACTGATGGCGCCACCCACGTACCCTATGGTAAAAATTTTTAAAGCACAATTTTTTCTTTTCCTCTCAATAGCCTTGTTTTATACTAACTGGTCTTAAAAAATAAAATGACTTTCCACTGAATGATTCACACATTCTGAAAGATCAATTTAGTGTGAATAATGATGAAAACTGAAATTTTTAAAGGGAAGGAACAAATGCTTCCAGAAATTTACCAATTTGCTATAAAGGAAGTAGAGGAAAACTCTATACTGCATATAACCAAAATGTAATTTTCAGTGAAATGAATTAAAGCATTTTATAAATGAATAAATTAACCTGTAAAAACAGATCGACTTCTTTTAATTTTTCTGCTATGTTCAATCTTGTTCTTTCTTCAAGCTCCCGTTTATATTGTTCTATTTTACTGTATTCTACCATGTTGACTTCTACACGACTTCTGAGGTTTACTACTTGTTGTTCCAACTTCTTTTTATTCTTCTCTAGTTTTTCACATTTTGTCTGTATTTCTTTCATAGATGATAATTCCTGAGTAAGAACCTGGTTTTTTGAAGACAGAGTTTCCAGTTTTGCTGTAAGATCATCAACCTGCATGAATAAAATAATACAGTTTGGAAGTAGAGTGAAAAGAGTCTAATGCAAAACTAAGACCCCAAATTTTTTTTAAAGATGTTAAATCTCTGCACCAAACATGGGGCTTGAACTCACAACCCCAAAATCAAGAGTCACATACGTTACTGACTGCTCCAGCCAGGTGCTCAGATTTTAAAATAAATTCATTTTCAACAAAATGTTATCTATATTGTAGTACAGTCTTGGAATGTGGAACCTCAAATAACTCAGAAAATCAAGAACAAAATTCAAACCACTAGGAGTTGCTAAAATAGATCTCTGCTGTCATCGTCTTTGCCACACATTTGTATTTGATTTTTATACTTTTATTTTTCTATGATTGTTTCAGATTTTTCCTCCATAAAATAACTGTAAGTCACCTCTTAGTAGAAAGTCTCTTAAACCTTCCCTCATCTTAACACTCTATAATTTTTTAAAAGATTTTACTTATTTATTTGAGAGGGAGAGAGAGCAAGAGAGCGAGAGCAAGAGCGCAAGAGCAGGGAGAGGGAGAAGCAGACTCCTCACTGATCAGGAAGCCCACCATGGGGCTCAATCCCAGCATCCCAGGATCACGACCCAAGCCAAAGGCACTTAACTGAGCCACCGAGGTGCCCTCGTACTCCATAATTTTTAAAGAAGTCTTAGGAATACCATATAGAATGATGTAGGTCTGAGCCAATAAATGCTTACCAAAATAAGACTTTGAAAATAAGACTCTAAATGATGAATCTATAAATATTGATTCTATTGCCATCAGCCTTTTTCTGAATTACAAATGTTTTATGCTAATTTGAATTGCATTGAGGAGAAATGATCCACAAGGTTAAGAAATCACATCTCTCAGAAAAAAAATTTCATAGGGAAAAAAATTTAGTGAGATGACCCATATATTTTTGGACCAAAAAAACAATTCCTTAGCTCAACAGTGTTACAATCCTTTGTTACTTCCCACAAAATAAGAGAATATAC